GAAAGAAACACTCCAAAAAAGAGAATGTGGATAAACTCTAGGGATATCAGATACAGCTGCTTAAAACTAGATTCAAACTCAGACTTTGGTTCTCCAACCAGTATCAGCTCTTCAAAACCACAACTTTGCCTCATCCTAATATTCCTGGCTTCTCAGTGTGATTTTCATCTTCTTACGTTCTGGAGAATGAAGACTCTTGGGAGAAAACTAAAAAGAAGTGGGGGACAAGAAAACAAAAGAAGGAAATGCTAAATGCATGGATTTAAAATATTGAGTTGGTCTGTCAAAATGTGTTTGTGTATGTGTGTGTGTGGGGACAATATATCACAAATGCTACTAACATGAAACATCACTTGGTGGTTTATTTATACTTCTATTATACATGCTTATCTTTGTGAATTTTTTTTTAAAGATTTATTTATTCATTCATACAGAACTGGGGTACAGGCCAGAGATGCGGAGGGTGAGAGGATTCACCAGAGACAGAGCGGGAAGCAGAACAGGCAGATCGATGAACTACACTGCTGAGGGGAGCAGCGGGCGGGTCAGGAGAGGTCTGCCGCGCCATGTGGTCACCTCCGGGGCAAGCGGGGATCGAACTCATGCGGAAGCGGCTTCAGTTTCTCAGTGCAGTGCTTTAACCCGCTGCGCCACCAGGGAGGGCCTCTTTGTGAATTTTAAACAAGTTATTAGTTCGAACTTTTGTCAGTCATTCTGAGTGATGATGTTAAAGATTGATGAAAACAATAACTCAAGTATCAAAAATTATAAATAAGTATAAAGCACTGTTAGTGGGCTCAAGAAAGGTAAAAAAATTAGAAAAATGGAGTTGAGGTTTTTAACTACATGGCTGAATCTATAAAGTTTTATATACACTGGGTAAAATAAGCCAGGGAGAAAACGTAAAACACTCTCAGGCATCATATATATGTGGAATTAAAAAAAGGTAAACTCACAGAAACAGAGTAGAAGAGTGATTGAGAGATCATGAGTGGCAAAACAGGGGGAACTCCATGATGGTGCAATGGGTTAAAGCACAGCAATATGAGGCTATACTGAGCTGCTGAAGCATGAGTTCGATCCCCAGCCAGGGAGGTGACCCACATGGCACAGAAGACCTCTCTACCTCACCCACTGCTCCCGTCAGGAGTGTATTTCAGTACATCTGCCTGTTCTGCTCTCCACTCTGTCTCTGGTGAATCCTCACATCCCCCTGCAACTCTGGCTTGTACCCCACTCTTGTATGCATAAATAAATCTTTACAAAAAAAAAAAGGTAGAGGACATAGCGAGAGGTTAGTAAAAGTAAACAAAACTTCACTTAGAAGATGAATCAGAGAATCTATGTAACATGGTGACTATTGTTGATCAAACTATACTGTATAAATAAAATATGCTAAGAGTAGAAAAAAATACATAATGTGAACATACAATTGAAGACACAGGAGATCATGAGATAAAACTCTCCCAGAAATAGCCAAAAATCATTGAGAACTAAAGATTTTTAAAGGCTATGAAAGAGATAGATTTAAGTTCTCCAAGAGATACCCGGTAACCAGGTAATGGATCTATTGGGGAAGTACTGAAGAAAAAAATAAGATCTGGAAGGCCCAGGAAGGTGGATGGAGGGCTGGGCCCCAGGGCGGGGCCCTGGTCCTGCCTGCTCCTCCTCTGGCCCCTCCCCTCAGCAGTCTTTGTGACAAGGTCACCTCTCTGTGATGCGCAGCTGGGATTTAAGTCCCAAAGGTTCCCCCAGGGCTCAGTTGCTCAAGAGCGACTGTGCGATTCAGATCATGGAGAATTTTCTCTTTACTCTGAAAAGCATCATTGTTAGTTGGCTGAGCTCCAGCTCCATTTCTTGGGTGTCTGATATCATCTTAGGCATCCTGTGTGGGCTGGGGCTCTTCACCGTGCTGCTTCCCTTCCTCCAGAGTACCCCATCCTCACCACCACCTAGGATGGACAGAAAGAACAGGAAGGTAAGAACCTCTGGAACAAACCCAATACGATGGGATTTGCTTTTCTATTATTTCCATTTTTCCCAGTTACCTGAGAGACTTGGGGAGGGGAGAGAATAGACCATCTTTTCTCAGGAAAAATGATTCTGAAGACAAGCCAGGCCAAGCAGAGGTGAAAGTGGGCACAAGCATTTCTACCTGAAGACCTCAGACCAGGAATCAGGATCAGTAGAGTTTCTAGGGCAAAGTCCCACATGGCGCTCAAGCTTGGGGTGCCTGAGAGGGGTGACCTCTGAGGGAGGCCAGGCTCCCTAGCACTATTCCCCAAGGTGCCAGCATCTGGGGCAGCTTCTCTGTCGGAGACATTGTCCCCGATCATGGATTATTGGGGGGCAGAACAGGCAGGGTCTCAAGGTGGGAATGGCGTCGGCGAGCAGAGATTCCTAGAAAAAGGGGAAAAAGGAAAAAAGGGGAGTGGGCGGGAGGAAGACACGGGAATGGGTGCAAGTCTTCTTGCTCTGCCTTTAGCAGAGGTTTATTTTATACACTTCAGGCAGGCCGAGGGATGGCATTAGCAAATGAAATGGGCTGAGATCACAGGCACCTTTTTGCTAAGAATAGTCTGGGGTCATTTTGACCTTCAGTTGAGATCATAACACTTTAAAATCAATCTATCAAGGTTAAAACAGGAACATAGATTCACAAAGTTTAAGACTAATATTACTACATTTACCACAGTGAAGATCAACCAAAATAAAGTCCCTGAAACATTATCTTTTACTTAAGGGCTTTCATTCTCATAGAGACATGCTAGGGGGTAAAGTAAAGTGAGGGCAGGAAGAGGAAATTTCTTGTAAATCAAATTAAGGTAAGGTTCTTTGAAAAACTTGTTAGAAAGTTTAAGTGAGTTTTTTTTTTTTAAGTCTAAATGGTAGAAAACCTGATTAGCTCTGCATAAGCGACTTGGGGGAATATCCATATCCAAAGACTAGGTAATAGAAAGCTTGAGCGGTTATTTAGAAACTGAATAGAAGGCTATGAGAGATAGAGTGATAAGATTTGGGTTTTCCTCAGTATGGCAGTGAGAAAGATTTTGCAGTAACAGCCATTTGTTTTTATTAATCAGCCAATTGTTTAATGACTTTTGACTTCAAGAGGAATTTCTCACCCTGGTGCAGTACTTGCTTGTCAGGGCCAGGTAGCACCTTCTGAGGCTGAGGCAATCCAATTGTAAGCTGCAGGTTGCTCAGAATATTTTGATATTATGATTATACCAAAAAGGGAGGTCATAACATAAGTTAGCAGTGGAAAGTCTGATTTTTTCAGAGCTTTTCCCGATCTACCCGGAATCTGTCAGATGATAGACGTTGCATAGCTTGTGTCACTTCTCAACTGAGGTTGATGGGGGCAGGGGGGTCAGGCTGAGGCACTGGGAGTCTCTGGGCAGGGCTCAGGAAGCAGGTCTTGTTTACCTAGCGCTGGAGGCCTGAGGGTTTGTGTTTCTTGAAGACAGGGAAGAAATCTGTGGTAGGTCTGACACAGAGGTTCTTTCTTGTGATCTTCATGGAAGACAGAAATGTCGATCCACTTTGGAAATGAGTAGAAGGAAATGAAACCAAATCCCCATTGGCTTAAAGGCAGAAAGTCACGTGCTTGAGCACTGAACATCTGCAGCTGGTCTGGGGGGAGGACAGGGAGACATGGGTGCCAGTTCCTTGTATTTCCTCATCTCTCAGCATCAAATGCAGTGGAAGGCGAGGAAGAGGAGCCGAAAGAAGTATGAAATTTGGAAAGGTGAGTTGCTGTAGGCAATCCTGGCCAGATTTACCCCCTGTCCTGTCCCTAAGTCCTAGCTCCGAGTTTAAGTTGTCAGGGCTCATCCCTCAGAAACACAGGCTCCTGGGAAGGAACCCTGACACCTCCCAGATTCCTGGCTCAAAGGAGACCAAGATAAGCCTGGAGTTCTGTGTTGTCTGCAGAGACATATGGTGGGAGTGGACCAGCAGGGCCTGGTCTGGAAGACAGGCGTCAGCTTATTTAACCTGCTCAGATCCCTCCGGGAGGCCCTGCCTATTCTCTACCACAGAGCACTGACTGGGCCTCAGGATGGAAATGACTGTAAATGACAAAGGGCCCCATAATGGGTTCTGCCATCACTGTCAGGCATCAGGTGGCCTCATCCCCCAAAGACCTCCTGAACACTTGGTCCTCAGCCTCCAGCCAGTCCCAGACCCCTCCCTGCATATGTGACCCAGTATCCCAATTTACAGCTTATAAAGAATGCCTGAAGGAATTGGAGGAAGCGAAAAAGCTGGTATTACTTCTACAGAGGTAAAGAGTCTTTCCTCATGTGTCCTTTTCAGAGCCTGTGGTGTGACCCCAGGACCAAAGGCAACCTAGTGTTGACCTGGGAGGGGGGCTCTGGACTGGAGTGCAGCTAAAGCCCTTAGCAGGTGGCGGTGGAGGGGGTGGCAGTGAGAGCAGTGGGGGCTAGAGAGGGGCACAGGGTCTCTGCCCTGGCCAGTCCTATGGGCACCTCTACTTCTACATGCAACTTGTGGCTCCTGTGTCCTGCAGTCACCTGGAGAAGAACCTCAGCAGAGGCAAATGTCATCAAGGTCCGGAAGCTGCACCAGCTAGAACCCACAGGTCATGTGTGAATAGTCCTGCTCCTGCTATACAAACTCAGGGAGATGTGTTCACTTTGAAAAGAATCCAAGTGGACACCATCCCAAAGAGCCCACCTCCAGGAAACACAGGCAGCTCCTGTGTGGCATCGCCAGCCCCAGCCATGGCAGGGCTGAGCCTCACCAACTATCCCTTTTGGTCCTGCTCCTGGTGGTGGGCGTCTACCAAGGCCTTGTTCCTCCCGGCCTCCTCACAGTGCATGTCCCAGCCACAGCCCCTGCCCCGATGCCCATCAGGGACCTCCTTGTGGGGAGGCCCCACAGGCAGGCAGGTAGAGACAGGGAGTCCCTCATTTGTCCTCCCTCATATCCAGAAGCTGCTGGAGATTTTAATCAACAAAAAAGTAAATTTGAACATGTGGAGAGGAAAAGAAAAGCATGGGGCATTTCAGAAACAAGCAAGCTCAATTTACCACCTGAATTTTTTGGAGGGCATTGCATTCTCCCCACTCCTCCATAAGAAAGACAAAGCCGAACAACAGCTATCTTATCCCAAGGTCTTGAGAGACTATTTAGACCGGAAATACACTCATTGCTGGGGTCTTCCCTCTCTGCACAGTGAGTCCCTGGTGGCTACTGCTGTGGTCACTGGTGCCACAGCTCAATCACAGGACTCCTCCGTTTTATTTAATGGAAATTCTACTTATTTTCCACTTCCTAGTCAACCCATCATGTCCTCGAGTCATTCCCACACCACATTCAGGCCTCACTGTGACCAATTACAACATTCGGCTGGAAATTTTCTCCAGGCCCAGCACCCACTTTTGTCTCCAGTTCAGACTCTGGCCCATCCCACACCCCACCTCCTAATCCAATCGCCTCTTCCTCCACCGCAGACTGGATACTGTGGGATGTTTAGCCCTACAGGCCAGAGCAAGGCAGAAACATTTATCCCAAATAATATTCAATCTGTGGAATGGTCACTGTGGCAGACACAGCAAGAAAAGATGTCTTTATCCCCTGTGGTCCAAAATTCAGACCAAGCGTTTAATCCAGTCCCTACCTTGCTTTTCGAGGACAGCTACACCTACCAGGCTGACAGATCAGTGTCTGTCTTTCATGAGAACCATGACAGTGGGGTTCTCCAGGAACCAAATCTCCAGAGGTGGCTTCTCAGAGGTGAAAATCAGGAGGAGATGCCCCACAGAATACAGAATGTGGAAACAATACAGCCTCAGGGAGAAACCCTAGGGCCAAGTCACACCTCAGGCAGGCAGCAGCCGTCATTGTCATCCATGTTGTCAAGCCAAGGTAATTGGGATGTACTAGAGAGGAGCTATGTGTCACCCAGGAGGTCCAACAGCAAGAATAATCTTCTCTTCAGACAAAGAACTTATTTAAACAAGGGTCTAGGGCAGTGTCTGAGAAGGGTCCCCAAAGATCATAGCAAAAGATCAGCTATTTCTTCAGTGAGCTCAGAAGGGTTGCAAAGACACCCCATGAGGCCTGAGAAGTGTGACTCAGGAAGTTGTTTATCAAGGCGCCAAGAGAAGAGACATTTAGAGAAACTCTTGAAAGCCCATCTGGGCAAAAAGGTACGGCAGATCAACAAGGGGCTGTTTCCTGTGAGTGTGCGCAGATCCTGGCTTGCCTCCAACCTCACTTTATCTAAACCCAGTGCCCAGAAAGAGTCCACAAAGTCAGCACCTTTCAAGCGTCGGGAAAGCCACACGAACACCTCCCGCCAGCTCCCTTTCCTTAGACCATGTGCGCAACAAGAGCTGGAAGCACATATGATTAGGTTTAGGGTAAGGCAGAAATGGGGCTCTTGCCCAAACCTCTCTGAGCCCATTAATATCAAGGAATGTGAGAGTCAACCACTGTTCAGCCCAAGGCCTGTCTTCCCCTATACAGACACCTTTGAACCCGAGACCCAGTCAAAAGCCCCTTTTGCCCAGTTAGTGAAAAAAACAACTCAGTCCTCTCTGCAAAAAAAGGGAATAGCTAAAAAGTCATATTGCACCCCCATTCTGGGGAGTCCCTTCTTGACATCCAAACTTGCGAATGAAGAAACTGAGAGGTCCCCAGGAGGAAGCCCACCCGTTCATGGCCAGGAACTGTCAAAGTTTCTTCTGACTAAACAGGAGGCGGGGCCTCCTGCTCAGATGTCTGTCTCCAGCCCCCTTAGGAAACCTCAGCAGAGGAAGGTTGAGACAGGTAATCTACTGACCACCACAAGAGCAGAAAATATCACGAACAGTCTGAATGAGAACAGGGGTCTGATCACTCCAGACCTGTCCCACAAAATAGAGATACTAAAAAGAAACTTAGATACTAAATCTTTAAGGGTGAAACAGGATTTGGAATCAATAAAGACCAAGGAAACCCCTGCCTGGGAAGTCAACGTGGGCCCCAGGGAGACAGACACCTCCTGGACAGATGACATGTATGCGAACAGTTCACAGTCTTCCGTGTCCCATGATAGATTTTTAACACCTGCAGCAACTACCGCTCCAAACCCAAGCAGTCCAGACCTCACCACAATAGTCACCAATAAGTGTGAGACCCAAGGGGCGGTGGAATTGGAAAATCTGCCTCAAGGCTGCGCCACCGTAGTGATCCCTGATGATTCCTGTACTGAAGTGTGCCTCTTAGATTATGGCACAAAGATGGTCATCCAAGGCTGTGCCATCAGTGACCACCCAGGTGCTCCCACAAATGTACTCCTGGCTGTAAACATCTTGGATTCTTACACATCACTGTGTCAGGAAAAAGACACTAGTGGGAACACACCTGCTCCCCAGGAGATAGTAGAGTCCATACTGAGTGGACACGACAGCCAGGGGCAGCAGGAGACAAGGAGACCAGAAGGTAAGATCCAGGGTAAGAGTCAGAGGAAGATAGTGACAGCAACTGTTGAGAGAGTGGATGCCGGTATCCTACCTGCTGAACGGCAAAATGTTTTTACCCCAAGTAATGAAAGGAAGGATATTGTTTTCCAAATTAAAGAGAGGAAGGATTACAGAAAGTCCAAATCAAGAGAGCAGGAAAAACGTTTTCCAGGAGTGCGGACTCTCCAAGCCAATGACATAGGCCACCCTGCTCAGGTTGAGGAAAGAGCCGATATCCAGGGTAGCAAAACCTTGCAAGAAAAGGAATCCGTTTCTACAGAAAGCCACCTCAGGAAAAGAATGCGGCACTTTCTGGAGTGCCTGAAATTTAATAAAAAAAGCAGAGGCCCACATGAACACCTTCAGAAAGCCAAGGCTGCCCCTGCCGCTGGCCAGCGTCGGCAGGGAGTCAAAAGCAAGTTGTCCACAGACAGAGCAACTGTCGAAGCTCAAATGATTGCGTCAGCTGTGGAACATGTCCTGGTGAGGAAACTGGGTCTTAGCAAAGGAACTGGGGCTTCACAAGTCAAGCAAAACAAGCAAAAGTGTCATGTCCCAATGGTTAAAAATTAAGACTCACCAATTGTGTCCTGCTTTCTCACTGCTTGAATGGATGTGTTCCTGGGGGTGGGTGTACAGGGACTGAAATTACCATCAGGTTTCCACAAGTGTGGGTGATGGCACATGGAGATGGCGTGAGCATGCTGGCTGGGCCCAAGATGCCTGCCCATGTCCTGTGAGAACAGGTGACACCTGGCCAGGGCCCCTTCTCTCCCTAATCACAAGGATTGAGGGTATGAGTGGGGTTTGGTGGGAATGTGGGGAGTTGCTGAGAACTGTATCCACCCACCCAAAGAGGAACTGACCCTCCAGCGCAGTGGAGCAGGGAAGAGACTGTGCAATGTCCCCCTCTGACTATGGATCACTATGAACAGAGTGCGAGGTGGGGGCAGGTACAAGATGACCCAGGGTGGCTCAGAAACTGTCAGGTGACCCAGGCCTGGCATCCCACTGCCTGCTACAAGCAGAGGGGTGAGCAGATATATAGGGGTCACCAACTCAGCGCATGATCCCCCATGTTCCCCTCAGAGCTTAACACCAGAGCCCAGACCAGCTGAGCCCCCTGCAGCTCCTCAGAGGTCAGGTTCCCAGAGGAGTGAAACCTTCAAGAATTGAAGGTTCAGGACATTGAAAAAGTCTGAAAGGGGCTGGGGGGATCAGGAGGGACTCAGAGGGTCTCAGTCACCACCAAAGACGGCCTCCAGAGGACAGGAGCGGCCCGGTAGCGGAGGTTCTGGCCTGGGACCACAGCAAGTCCCCCTGGGCTCCCAGTCGGCTTGCTTCAGAGACAGTGTGTAAAGAAACCGTCAGACATGATGTGTCACAACAGCTGAGGGAGCTGCCCAGAGGGGCACAGGTGAGGTGACCCTGCCCTGCTGCTACACTGGCCCCTCTGCCTCCACACCGCTGCTGGAACACACAGAATGACCCTGCAGTATCACACGCATGGGCAGTGGGCCCAGCGCTGTCATCACTCCCCAGTTGTGGTCCCCTCCAGGAGTTTCCTTTTCCTATGGGAGAGCAGGTCAGACTATCCCCAGCACCCGCCAGTGACCCTCACATGGGACCTGGACAGAGGGGACAGACCAGCTCTGGCCAGTTTCTCCCTGAAGCCTGTGTCTGGGCCCCTCCTGGGCAGCGACCC